TAAACCACTAAGCCCTAAACCCTAAAACTACACCCTGAAGCCAGCTCAGCAAAGTAGCTAGACAAAGGGCAACGATCCCAGCGACAACACTCTCAGACTGTGCTGCAAGTTCATATACGCAACACTTGCCCACAGATGTGTAGTATATATGTAGTAATTATGTTATTATATATGTATATATACACACACGAAAGTGTATAGGTTGGTCGTATGTGCAGACAGATCGGTAACATAACAGCCATCCAGTACACCTCGGTGTGCTTTACCCAGCTCTCGAATTCTTCGTCCGGGTGTGTAGCTGGCTGCTTCAAAGCCTCGGTTCAGAATGCAAGTTATGATCTGAAGCCCCGAAAAAAGGCCTTTAGAAGGGTTTATTTAAGGGAGTCACAACAAGGAGCCCCAAACATGTAGGTTCTGTAGGGTTCAAGCTGGGCCGGGGTTCAGGGTTTGGGGCTTCGTATCAAGGGATAAACTCAGAGAGCCCAATACCCCTTAATTACTTAAACTATAAGGGCCTAAGTATTATGATCCAAAGTCTATTCCTTATTTAAGGGGTATTGGGCTGTCTGGGAAGTGTTCGGCACTCACACTCGGCTTCTCCAAGCAAGACGTTTGTTCGGCGCTGAAGGGTTCGGGGCTGCGGATTTCGGCTGCGGTCATTTGCCTTGTCTTGCTCAGCGCCAACCTGAAGTCTCCACTTGGGTTCGTGTTGAGTTCTCAAAACAACTGAGTCCAATTTTCATCACTTCCCCCCCCCTTTTATTAAACACCACCCTTAATAATAAACGCATTGGGGCGAATCCTCCCACCTATTCTGAGTTAGGGGGAGGGCTTCGAGGGTCCAAATACCCTAAAAGCACAGTCAGAGCAAAACCAGGAGCAAGAGCAAAGCAAAAGCATGAGCATCAGCAAGAGCAGCATCAAGAGCAACAGCAAGAGCAGGAACACGAGCGGGAGCAACAGCAAAAACAGCAGGAGCAGAAGCCGGAGCAAAAGCCAGCACGGGAGCAAGAGCCAGAGCAGGAGCAAGAGCACGACCCCTCAACAGTGGCAGTAGAGATAAAAAAATACCCCGGAGCCCCCGTTTAATATTCGGGGGAAGGGATTAATCTATAGCAGAACACCAGGCAAGCAAAAAGGAACTGCAACGGAAACTACCTATAGTCGTCGTTGTAACTCCTTTGGTTCATCGAAAAGGAATTACATTAAGGACTATATCTTATATAGCCTAAGTAAGCCCTTCCCGCAAGATTCGGTTGCAGCTGGATGTAGGTTTGGGGCCCGAGATCTGCGGCTCAAAGGTCGGGTTCAGTGTCAAGCATCATGGTTTAGGGTTTAGGGTTTAGGGGTTGGGATTTAGGGTTTAGGGTTTAGGGTTTAGGGTTGAGGGTTTAGGGGTTAGGATTTAGGGTTTAGGGTTCAGGGTATTGGTTTGCAGCGCACTGAACACTTGAACCCTAAGCCCTCAAACGGTCGGTGAGGTCTCGGACAATCTTCAATGCTCAGCGGGATGGTTCGAGGCTAGGGATCTCCCCTTACTAAACCCTAAACCCCACTTTCTTGTTACGTACCCTACAGGTGGCTGTGTACAAGTACGGGTGCCGTTGCGGGGTCCTTTTACCCAGGGTATCCAGCTCAGGCCTTCCTGATTTCTGATCTACCGCATCATCAGACTACCCATACGCTGAATGGTAGTTCCTTTTTGGGAGTACCTTAGAGGATCCTATATTATAAACCACAAGAAGGAACTTCAATGGAGCCTGTAGGTACTGACGTTGTAAGGCCAATGTCCCCGTAGCACAGCCCTAAACCCCAAACCCTAAACCCAACAGGGAAGAAACGAACATGGCCCAGTATCACAACTAGGACACGTGAGCTTGGCCTTCCCCACACTTAAGGGACAATATGAGGGATCCCTAGAAATGACCCTAATCCAAATACCCTATATAACCCTTAAATGCCCCTTATATAGTCTCATAAAGTCCCTATATAACCCCAAGCATCCCTTTAAAGGTCCGTCGTTTAGTCCCTTGATACACCGTACACCCTCAACGGCCCTAAACCCTAAACCGTAAGCGCTCAAGAGGCAGGATTTAGATCCTAAATCCTAAACCCTAAACGTTGAATCCTAAACCCCAAACCCTGAACCCTAAACCCTACACCCCTAAGCTCAGGAAGATCTAGATCCCGAAGATCAGTCTCAGGATGCAAGGTGCAGGGGTTAAGGGGATTAGGTGTTAAAGGGTTTAGGGGTGTAAGGTTTCGACGCTGGTGGCCAGCTGCTCAACCCTTTTGCAGCAGGCTTCTCTCGCTGCTAAACCCTAAACCCTAAACCCCTAAACCAACCAACTAACCGACCAACCAACCAACCAACTAACCAACCAACTAACCAGCCTAATTAGAGCTCAGGTCTTGCAGCCTTGCACCGCACCGACTGAGCCGGCGACCTTGAGCAAGTGAGAGACCAACTTGATGAACAAGCTTTTGCCAGCATCATCTTTCGGAATCTCCTGGCTTCTGGATTGGGTGTAGGGTTTAGGGTTCATCTTTCGGAATTTCCCGGCTTCTGGATTGGGTGTAAGGTTTAGGGTTCATCTTTCGGAATTTCCTGGCTTCTGGCTTGGGTGTAGGGTTTAGGGTCTATAGGGTCTAGAGTTTAGGGCTTAGGGTCTTTACTTTGTTGGCTTCGGGCATTGCGCCGTTCAAGCTTCCTGGCTTCTCATGCTCAGGGTTCACATTTTCCAAGTTTGCCGTCCACTATGTAGGAGGCAAGCGACCTGGCAGCGCAGAGACACTTTGCTAACCTCCGTTTACCAGTTATATCCGGTGATTGTAATCTTTATCATGTCCAAATGCCACAATCCAACAAATCAGCCCAAGCAGAAAAATTGGACTGCAGGATCTAAGAAGATGCTATGTAGCCATGCTTGCATCGCAAGGGGCACCGAAGAACCTGAAGCACACCCATGCACCCGAACTCTCTGAGCCCACCGCCCCAGCCAGAACATGAACAACCTGCACGCTCGTCCACTCTTCGAATCTGGATCTGATGTGCCTAAACTGAACCCTAGCCTTAGACCCCAACGACCCCTAACCCCTCAGCCCAACTTTAAACCTTCACGCCTTAACCCTAAGCCTTAGACCCCCTCAGGCTTTGGAGGTATCTACGGCTCTAGGTTTCAGACTTGCTTCGATGCTTGGTCGGATTTAGGAGCTTTTAGCGAGGGTTTTTGGGGCATTTAAGCCCTGAAAAAGCATTCTAATTCCTAATTCCAGGGGCCGAGGGCTTAGGGTACAGCCCTAAAAGACCTAGAGGGCTTGCACGTATAAAGAACCATGAGGGGATCCTTCAAGGAACCTCTACAGCAGTAGCAGGAAAGCTGGAAACCCAGTCGCCTCAATCCTTAAACGTAATGTATCGGGAATCCCAGCACTATTTGGCCTTAATCCGGTTTCCAACCTTTTTGGGCTTACTGTATAGAAACCCTGTCCCCTTTAAAGGAAGCCTTCAAGGAACCCCCTATAGGATCGAAGCCTCCTTGGAAACGAAGCGCGCGATCAGAGTCGTCAGTGCCGGCATTCCGGCCTGAGATGGCTGGGTCTGAGAATCCGGGGCTCACTTTAGCGCTCAAGCGGTTTTTTGCCTCCTACTTAGCAAGGACGAGCCCGCATTGCAGGGTAATGTCTTGAGCGGTTTAGGCTTTAGGCTTTTAGGGTTTTAATCGAGGGTTTAGGGTGTAGTTTAGTGTCTAGAATGGGCTTGGAGTTCAATCAGGCCTAAGGGGTGGTAAGCATTACTATACATGGGTTACGACAAAAAAGATGCTTGAGTTCCTATCTTGGGGACCTAAAAAGCGACCCCATTTTAGAGAACTACCCATCTGCCAGAGCCAGGCCATGGATGCAGGCGAGTGACAGAGTGAGTGATCCGACTGAAACCGATGCTCTCAGGTTCACAAAGCGTGACCGCAGCAAGTTGTCGAAACTACACAGGGGAAGAAATCCAGGGAGTGCATCGCCAGTACACCTGGGCCTGACTGGGGACTGTAGACCGTAGACGTCAGAACGATAGCCTTCCCTTCCTGTGGACCTCACTGATTGACTCTAATCACAAAAACAACGATCGCAATCACAACTGAAAGGCACCAAGTAGCAATGACCAAAGCAACAAGCTAGATGTACTGATATAGAAAAAGCCACTTACTTCCGTGATCATGTTTAGCGCTGTTGTGGCGCAGTGCATCGAAGCATATTACGACACACAGAGTGCATCAAGACCGAGATTCTTTGTTCTAAGTGGAGTTGTCGTGCTTGGGTTTCACAGCTCTTGGGTTCAAGGGACTTGAAGTTGAAGAATCATGTGGGAGTTTCCAAAAATTAGGGTACCTTATTTTGGGGTCCTTATAATAAGGATCCTATTATTTAGGGTACTATATTAGGGTCCCCTATTTTCGGAAACCCCCATGTTGTGCCTGGGAATTGCGTCTTGAGGCAAGAGGAGAAACAGGTTGGTCAATTTGCAAAGTTTCCAAACCAAACCCTATATGCCCTATGCTTCCAAGGACCTTACAATTAGGGCCCTAGACACCTTAAGGGTCCTAAATAAGGTCGCCGGAAGCATGGGGTTACAACTCCACGGTCTGGGCTGCCTTGCCCCCTTCCCCCGCCCCCCTCCCCGCTCCCGATACTACGAGACCTTAGCCCTACAAACCCCCTCCCCCACACCCACGGCTTAGGGTTTAGGCAAGGAGCCTTAAACCTAATTAAACCCTGAACCCTCTTCCCTGATTCAGGGGCAAGGTGCACGACAAAGTCGGGATCTTGTGGCCGTTGCTTTGGAAGGGTCGGAACTTGCAGTATCGAAGCTGTTTAGAAGCTGTTCAGCAGTAATAAAAACTGTATTGATTAATAAGTCATAGTGATGATCAGAAGATTGCTTGTAGTAACTGCTTATAATAACAACAATACCTGCGTAGCCTTCTGTAAACGGTTTAACACCGAGGGCTTTAGGATCTAGGGTTCAGGGATATTGGGTTCAGAAGCCCTGATGCTCTACGTCGAGGTTGATGCACGCTTTCCAAAGGCGAAATCACTTCTCCTCCGGCCACCACATCTGAAGTCTGCTTTCGTCTCAAACCATGCTTGTAGAAATCAGGGTTCGCGGTTCAATCCAATATCAAGGTTCACTCCAAAGCCCCCAGAGGTAAAGCCTTGAACCGCACACCCTGACGGTCTTTGCATTTGGCCCTCTACATGCCAGAACTCCCATCATGCAAGCGGCTATTGCTTCAACTGGGATCTCTAAAGCAGCTGGCGCCAAGTCTTGGATGGACACGGAGCGAGCTTTGTAGGAAGACGCCTGAGCCAATGACTTGCTGAAGGCTTGTATGCCTGAGAGAGGGGGCACACAAAGGCGCCTAAACATTGATATTCGATAAGGTTCCATGGTGATTTCTCGAAAAAAGGAGTAGCCTTCGACATTTTGTGTAGAAACTAGATAGCACAAAATCCCGGCAACAATAGATAGGACAGGAGCGAGTACCCAGTATCATCTAACAGTGCGACAGGTGTGACACCCCTGGCACGGGATGATGATGATGATGATTGCGGCAGAGAGGGTGATGGTGGCGGTGGCGGCAGGGTGAAACACGGGATGGCAGCAATGACGAACGTCAGAATAATAAGATTATGATGATTATGATGGTGGTCATGGTGATGATGATGGTGATGACGGTAGTGATAGCGCTGATGACCGTGATGATGGCCTTAATGTTAATGATGATGGTGATGACGCCGTTAATGGAGATGAAGATGAAGATGAATAGTAAGATGCGGATGAAGATGCTGCTGATTATGGTGGTGGTGATAGCGGTGCTGTTGGTGATGATGCTGCTGATGCTGAAGATGAAGGTTCCCAAGCGGATGGTGATGCTGATGGTGCTCATGGCGATGATGATGATGATGATGATGATGATGATTCTGACAGCAAGTGATGATGCGAAGCCATCAGATGACATCTGGGGTTGCGAATCGCACTGTTCAATGTGCAAAAGGAATACTGACAGAAGCAAAGCTCGTAATGCGATATTGGTACATGGCAAGGAGTTTTGAATCCTGAAACTGGACCCCAACCCGGCACCGTGTAGATGCCCTTGACTCAGGACTCGCGGTTACCACAAAGCGCAGACTAGTGTAGACGTCTTGCAGTGGCCCCTCACTGAGGAAGCTGACCGCAGACGTGTTTCTCGCCGAAGTTTGCCGCAAAGCTGACGGGCAATCAGGGTTCGGAAGCCCCAACCAAGTCCTAGCCACACTAAAATACCGAAGCACAGAAGCTCAGAATGCTGGGCGCGAATCCTGAACCCTATGTTTACGCGCTCTCAACCCTCCACCCCTGCCGAACGAGCCTTGAACCTAAGAACGATTCCTCAGGCCTGCAAAACTCCCAAATCCACGATGGGCTTTTGGGTTTAGGGCTTCAAAGTTTCGGGTTTCATAGGGTCTATAGGGTTAAGGCTCCCTGGTTTCCCAGGTATCATCAAGGCAAGCCGCATATAAGCGCCGGTCGATGAACCTCAGCTTGTTTGGTAGTTTGGTACTTCCACTGCGAGGAAACAAGGGCTGTATACTGCGATGAGCCTACGTTCTGACGACCCAACCATTCGGCACCCGTAACCTAAGCCTGCAAACGTTCCTGCTAAGCTACAAAAGTGTTAAAGCTCGCTCGGGGGCTTGAGCGAATCCTCCGACTGGCTCGTGGTAGACACGGGCGTGGTGGGATGTGTTGCGACGAGGCTGATAGTGGTGGGGGGGGTCCTGGTTGTCGCAGTGGTGACTCATGTTTCCCAACATGGTGAAGCTGTGCGCAGCGATACCAAGACCTGAACCACCGGCAAACCTCTTCGCGCTCATCTTTTTCCAAAGGGTCCAAGTACCCAACTAGTTGGGTTTTACATACCAAAACCCATTCAAAGTAAAATGGAGACCGAAAACGTTACTATTTAGTAAAAGGGTCCAAGTGCCTATTAGGCACTTGGACGCTTCGTGATCCCTCAAGCTTCAGTTGCCTAAAGAATGGGTTAACGGGCTTCATGTTATATCTGGCAAGTCACCTACTACATAAGCAACTGGAGCCCTAAACCCTAAACAGGGGATTCCAGCCTAGACACTGCATGAGCCGGGCGCCACAGGCGGCCTCAAGGCGCTCCACCCTCTCCTTTCAGCCAGGATGACAGGATCTAGGGTTCAGGGATTTAGGGTGTGTAGACAGCGTGCACGCAGTGGGCGCGCTTATCGCGTGCTTGCGTCAGCATGCAGTCCCGCCCCAACCACCCCAACTATTGTCAATTAGGGTTGAGGTTCACTCCCCCAAACCCCATCAAGGGGGGCTTGCTTGCTCTCTGCTCCCCTTCGCGGTCCGCAACATAAACGACCGCATTTCACAGCCAACCACAGCTGAGATGGATTGGTCTCGGGTTGTGGGTCCTCGCGGCCTGTGCCGAGGTGTTACCCTCCCTCACTGTTCTGACGAGACGCTCGGCCGGGGGCCTCGGTCGGAGTCTCGAGCGGCCATGCAAATGGTCAGCGGCTGGTGTTTAGGGTTCCGGGTTTACAGAATTGGTTTACAGTTTCGAGTAGAAAGGCCCTTCTAATGATTTTTGATACACTTCTCGATGACAGGGCTTTTGGTTTTTGCGACAAATAAACAAATAAATAAGTAAATATGTGTGTATATATATATACATATACATATACATATACATAAGACAGGGAAGACATGTTTGCAGTCTTGGTTGAAGAAGCCTTGGTTGAATTGAAGCTTCAGAAAATTTCACCTGTGAACTTGACTGATGCTTTGAGTACCTCGTTGTGAACGTGCCGGGTCCTACCCGAACACGCGTTGGTCATGAACAGAAGTTTTGAGTAAAGATTCAGAAGTACAGTTCGAGTGGACTAGCTGTAGGCGAGGTCTCGCAGTCTTCAGGGTGGTAATCGGGTTTTGATAGCTAGAGTTCTGCTGAGCTCCATATACGGCTGAGAATTTCACCCTAAATCCTATACCCATAACCCCGAAGCCCCAAACTTCAGGGCTCGGACCTCCCCGGGCTTCTCGTATGTCTGTAACCGAACTGAAGACATAGCGCACACGATTCTGATTGACATCGGTTGCGATCGTGCGTCGTGGTTTTCGAGGCGTAAAGGCTTTCAGTCGATTTTGCTTCGGCATCGCCGGGCTGCGTGCTGTTCAAGTCAGAACTGGTGTTCCTCCGACCGAGGTCTGCCATAAGTGGTCTTTACGGAGGGTAGTGTAAGGCTACCATAGGGAGTCTCTCTCCCTCTCTCTCTCTGTGTCTATACATATATGTATAGATAAGGCTAAGCGTACGTAAGCACGAAAAAGACCCTTGCAAAGCGAACAAGGCCCTAACACCAGATCCCTGCAATTCCTCAATGCTCCTGAGTCCCCGGTTCACTACCCATGGGCCCCAGAGTAGTTTCTCTTTGGGGACACCTTAGAGGATGCTATGTATGAACCCCAAAAAGGAACTACTTTAGGGCCTATGGGTACACACATCAACCTCCGGCTCCTTCGCTTGAGAAAACGGGCCAAGCATACCTGGGGCTTACCGAGACCATTGCAGTTCCTTTTTGGTTAACCAAATTTATATTATAGGATCCTAAGCATAAAATTGGTTCACCAGAAAAAGGAACTCTAATGGAGACTAATTGTTTCCTTTTGCGTACAGGATATGTTTTATTAACTAGCTACGCTAACATACGAATGTCTTCTCACCAGAGCTTACGATCTATAGATGGGGTATAGGCTACAGGAGGTAGGATTTCCTCAAGTCCTGAAGCCAGATCCCCACAGCCAGTCCACCAAAAACCTACCTAGAGGGGTATACGATCTGCCTCTGTGTCACTCACGGCTGTAAGTTTTAAAGTTCAAGACTCAAGGCCCATTTCCACATGAATCGCATAAATATGGTCAGGGGCCTTGCATTATGTCAGGTGCCTTTCGATACTGGCTTTCGCAAGACTGTATAGGTACAACCTGAAAGCCCTAACCCTGAGTTCGTAAACCACCATGCATAAACCCTTCTGGGCACGGCAGGGGTACGGATGCCCACCCTAAAACCCGACTACTCCCCATCAACATCGTATAAAGGCTCAAAACTATGATAGAACAAAATATTGAAAATCCCGCCAGGGCATGGATCGTAAAGCCCTCAAGCCCTACACCCCATGGAACTCTAAGCCCTAAACCCTTATTGAACCCTTCCCTCATGAAGTACCATACCTCGGAGCCTTAAACCTTATCACACGCAATGGAATCCCTGCAGTACTTGGAGGGTCGGAAGACTTAGTAAGTAGGTAATAAGTAGACTTATAAGTACTCTAAAAGGGACCCTAATTGGGGTTATAGTACTTATAAGTCTATAAAATAACCATTTACTAAGTCCCCCGATCCTCCAAGTAGAAGCCCAAAGTTCGAAACCCACTACGCTCCATCCCAACTTTTCACCCTAAACCCCTAAACCGTAATCCCTAAAACCCTAAACCCCAAATGCCCCGTTTAGAACCCCCAAAAACCCCTAAACCCCAAATGTCCCTTTTGGAACCCCTAAAACCCCAAATCTCAGTCTTAGAACCCCCAAACCCTAAACTAAACCCCAAATCTCCCTTTTAACTTTTAAGAACCCCTAAACCCTAAACCCTAAAACCCTAAAACCTAAACCGCTTAAAATAAATCTAGGGCGAGCCGTGGAGCTCTTGAAAGCTGCAGCCAGATCTTTCCAACCTCGGCGGTATTTTGGGGGGTTTTGGGTTTACCTATCGTCTCCATTGTAATTAATTATATTTTGGGTTTACCTTTTAGGATCCGTAATATAGCATTGGTTACACCAAAAACATGAACTACAATGGAGACTATAGGTAGGGTTTAGGATGCTTAAAGCTTGGGGTTTCGGCGCTCAGCGCTCACACTCGGACAATCCCAAACTTTACAAGGTTTGGGGTTTAGGGTTGAAGGTTTCGTGGTTTAGTTAGGGCTTTCGGGTTTACGGTTTAGCTACGGGTTCTGAGGGGTTCTAGAGGGGATTGAGGATATGTTTTGAGGTTTAGGATTTATAAGGCTTTGCGTTTCAGGTGGCTTGAGGACTGTTGGGTTTACATACTGGGTTCTTCGGGCAAATACAGTTTTTGTTTGCAGGACCCTTTTCCACTCGAGGGAAGCCCCAGGAATTCGTGGGTATATATTCGGGTCCCTGAATCCACGCGAACCCTACCTAAACCCATTTCTGGGACGGTCCATGGCGGCAAATGCTTGCGAACCATCCGAAGAGGCTCAACGACAAAAGCAAAAAGGCTACGATGCCGGGGAAGCCATGCATAAATAGCCTCACTCAGGACACTGGTAAACCCTGAGCCCCGAAGCCCTTTGTGCTACAAGTAACAGCCTCTAAAGAGCTCGACCAAGACACTGGCTAAACCCATCGAGTGCCGAAGCCAATGTGGGGTTTAGTGAGCCAATCCGAGGCTTTTCTTCTGGTAGCTACTCAGTTTAGCTTGTCTGTCGGTAGGTTTCCTCAACCGTATCCTCCCCCAAATCCAAAACACTTCGTCGTGACTTCACCACTCTAAACGGCTGTGGGCTTGGGGTGCATGGTAGCCCACCATCCCCTATGCAGCAAAGCTCAAGACAAGCGCATCTACACCCAAATCCTCCCCCTTGTCAGCATGGGCTTTGATTATGTGAAAGCAAAGTGTGCCCCCAAACCTACTCCCCTCAAACTACCGGCAATTACCCCAAAGTTCCAAAAAAATCAAGACCCTAGCCCTAAACCCTAAATTGCGCAAAGGGCTTTTGTCCGGCTTTGGAAGCGTCTCCAGCCGTTTCCCTTGGCTGCTTCGAGCTTCAGAATGCTCTAGGCTTGCGCGTCAGGGATTCGTGGCTTGATCCTAAACCCTAAACGACCCTAAACCTTGTTTGCATACAGGCCTCTTGCAGCCGAGCCTAAACCCTAAAACCCTAAAACCTAAAACCCTAAGCCGTGGTTAAAGCATTCAAGGCATCAGGTTTACGGTTCAGGGCTCCAAGGCCTTGAAGGGATCAAAAGCCTTGTAATATAGAAGCCTAAATAACTATCAATAGTATTTTGGGGGGCTCCTTATCATAATTATAGTCTAATATACACCCCCCCAAAACCCTCTTCTATTTACTAAGGCCGCTCTTTAAAGCCACCGAAAAACCGAAGCTTATGAAGTCATATTCTAATTATTAAGCTTATATGGGGGCTCCTTATTAAGGTTATATTATTAATGTACCCCAAAACCCTGTTCTAACTATTAAGGCCCCTACATTGGGGTGTTTCAGGCGTCGGATTCGGGGGTTCGGTGCTTCTGCCATCGTCGGAAAATTGCAGGGCTCAGGTCGAAGGTTCAGTGGCTTAGGCTCAAGTTTTTGGGTTTCAGAACTCACGCTCGGACAAGCCTAGGCGAGGTTCTTGGGTTTAGGGTTGAGGGTTTAGGGTCTTAGTTTAGGGTTTAGGGTTTAGGCTCAAGTTTTAGGGTTTCGACTCTCACGCTCGCACGCAGCAGGCAAGGATCCACATAATAAGTTTTTGGGTTTAAGGTTTAGGGTTCAGTTTAGGGTTTAGGGCCTGTTTAGGGTTCAAAGTTCAGTTTTGAGAGGCAAGGAAGGAACAAGGACAGGTTTAGGCTCTAAATGTTTGAGGCGTAGAAGCTTCAGCAAACATGGGGCTCTAACACAAATCCTAACTAGGAGTCATACAGACCCCCACAAACACACACACACACACACACACACGCATATATATATATATATTCATTCATTCATTCATTCATTCATTCATTCATTCATTCATTCATTCATATTTATATCTATATATATACATGTAGCTGTATATGTAAAACTTTTAATGTTGCACAGTTAGATACGTTGACACCTATGGAACTGCATAGCTTTAAGATTATACAGTTGCAGTTAATATAATCAGACATTATTAAACTAGTAGTTATGTGTAAATAACCTATAGAGGTATACAGTTGTATACATATTGTGTATGTAAAGAACACGTGAACAGATATTATCATAAATGATAAACAAAACAAACAAAGATAGAGCGCATGTGTGTATACACATGTATACAGACACACACACACACACACGCATATATATATATATATATAAATATAAATAAATATATATATATATATCCACACACACACACACATCCATCCATCCATCAATCCATCCATCCATCCATCCATTCATCCATCCATACAACCTTCCATCCATCCATCCATCCATCCATCCATCCATCCATCCATCCATCCATACATACACACACATCTGCATACACGCACACACATATACACATATATACGGAGAGATAAAGAAATATGTATATATATATATATATATACATGTGTGTGTACATATACAAACATACAGATATCACCACTGGGCACGTTAAGGCTTCTGCGTTGAAGCACGCAGCCCTACAGACCCTACACTCTGCGCGAAATAGCCTCTACAGACCCTAAACTTGCAAGAGGAGTCGAAACAGCTTAATTAATCCGTACCTTAGACTCGGACCAGCATACAACCAAAGCCCCACAAGCTCTTCAGGCAATCCGATAAACCCTTTTCCAAAACCTTGAGACACATATACTCCAAGGAAGCCTTTCTAAAGCAAACCCGATTGCACCCTGAATAAAACGAGGAACCGTGTTCACATGACTCTCGCAGTTTACGGAGCTCTGATTCGGACTGGGCCACCTGAACGAAACAAAGGGGTTGATGCGGCTTTGCGGTAAGTCGCGGCTTCGAGTCTTGCAGTGACAGGGCTTGCACAGAATTCTGGGGCATGCTGTTCCGCACTTGGTGGTTGCGGACTTGATGCTGATGCCTGTACGGTTGCGCTTCTCAGATACACGGCCTGCCATTTGTTTCCTGCTGGGCTTCGAGCCTCGGGCCTAGAGCGCTCCTCGGGAATATCCTGCTCAAAGCTTTTCTGCGATGCATCCTCGGAATAATTCTGAATGATATTACACGCATGAAACCTCACTACCGATGGCATGTTGTGGCAGCTCGTATTAGGGACCATTCTCAAACAATTCTGACCCTTGTGGGCTCTGTTCTCGTCAATCCGTGCCGATGGGCGGGCCGGAAAGCAAAATCAGGCTCGTGACTGCTACAAGACCGATGCATGGAGCTTGTTCATTTTTGTTCAAGCATGTAGGAAACATGCAGGTGCTCAACACTTGCCAGTGATCGTACTACGTGTTGCGGGGATGACTTGCTGTATGCAGGGTTCAAGGATACCTGCAAGTAGTACTTTGACACTGACGAGACAACAACAAACAAATTATCATCTGGAGGAGAATGAAGTGATGGATAGCTCAGCATGTGAGCACAAGTAGGAATGCTTAGTCACTGCAAAAACAGTGAGAAGGTCTGTGTAACCGTAGTCGGCAGACTGCAGTGCTTGTGCTTCGGTCGCACTCGCGCACCTCGAAGCATGACTCCAAGAGGTGGTAGCTGGCCCCGTAAACCCTAAACCGTATAGCTGGCTTTCACGGAAGTGACTGTCCGGAATCGTAGCGAAACCTGTTGGCAGCGGGTCTCCATCCCGGGGTTCCCTGCTCTTGCGGGGTATCCATGCCCCGTGGCGAAGCTTGTTGGGTTTAGGGTTTAGGGTTTAGGGTATCCATACCCCTGGCTTGTTGGGAATCCATGCCTCGGGTGCCTATGCCGACCTGTTCGTTGCGAAGCTTGTTGGCTTTTGGGGTACCCTTCCCCCGGTTTTGCAGGGTTGACATGCCCCCTATACCGTCCTCCTCGATGCGAAGCTTTCCTCTTGCTTTCTTAGGTACCCCGCCGGCTAGCAATTGACCTCATGGCGAAGCTTGCTTCTGGTTGAGGTGGTGCCGCCTTTGTGAATCCGGTCTTTTCGCGTGTCGAGTCTGTTCGCGGTTTTGTCGTGGCGTGTCCTGTTCTGTCTTGTCGCGGTTTGATCCTTAAGCCGCCAGGCCAGGCGGTGATACCGCCTTTGACTAGACTTCGGTCTTGGTTGTTTCTCCAAACCACTTTCTGTGTAAACGTCTCATTAAGTGATGCCGGGGTGACCCGTAAAGCTATTCCTGGTTCAGGCCTCTAACCAACCAAAACCGAGTGCCCAGAACCCTCAACCTAGCTACAGTCTCCATTGTAGTTCTATTTTGGTCATCCAAATACATATTTTTCGGGATCCTAACCATAAAACTGGTGAACCAAAAAAAGGTTTTACAATGGAGCCTACAGGTTTAAACAAAAAAAGGCACTACACTGGAGACTACAGTATAGGTCAGGGTGTGGGTCGGGGGTAAAGCATCGCCTGAAGCAAGTTCTCGATGTCCTCCGGCGCTGGTAACGTCTTCTTTCCTGGACGGTTTCGGGTCTACCGGGGGTTTGGGTCCTCAAGTTTAAAATAATTGGGTTTTAGGATAAGTAATGGGGTTTGGGCAGGGCTTAGCGTTGGTTTGCGGGTGCTTGATGCCAGAACATCACTGATATACAACTTCCGGGCATGCAGAAAACATCGGCACTTACTCTGCTTAGCTCTGCTTTCTATAGCCACAAAGACACCCGGTACCTCAGTACCTTCTGATTGGGCCCAGCTTTTTCGCGTACAGCCTGAAATGAGAAACAACAATGGTAAGCGCACGCATTGCTTTAAGGGATGTTTGTTCGCTTGGTCTTGTGATACGCTGCATGGATGCTTCTTCGGGCATGTCTGCTTCTGCCATCGGATGCACTGCAAAAAGACATGCGTGCTTGTGTCACCAAGCGAAGCTCGGACACAGCGGACGCATGACCGGCATGGGCCGTTGTGTCACCGGGCATATAGCGATGCCAAGCCATGACCGCTCCGCACATACCACGCCGCAGCAAAGCACTGCAAATACAAATGTCTTCGGGAGAGCAAGAAGAGGAAGCACCATAAATACAAGTGCTTTCGGCATGTTTCAAGTCATGGGTATCGGATGCGTGCGAAGCACTGACATCAACGCTATGTTTCCGGCATGTCAGCCACACGAACCGCCGTAAATGCGGGCACATGGCAGTTGATTTCAAAGCCATCCACAACAAGAACAACAACAGCCACGTGCATCTCACAAGTCAAGACATCCAACCTGCAGCTACACTCGGGCTTCTGCTGCCAGGCGTCGGTCCAACTGCGTCATTGCGGCTTGCCACAAGGTCCCCCGAGCAGTCGTGACGTGCGCGTTGGTTGGAATATTATGGAGCTCCTGTTCGAGTTCTGGAACCCTGAAAACTAAATGCCAAAAAAAAACCCACAGTTCAAAGTCCTAAGCCCTAGACCCTGAAGTCTAAGCCCCTAGGTCATGAACTTGAGGCCCACCCGATCTTGGACATGTCTTGCAAACCCATGAAAGTTATACCAATAGGAACCCGGGGAAGAAATCTCTGGTTCCTATCATTGGCTTCTGTATACGGAAAATATTGCACAGGGGATTGAGAACCAACGATTTGTCATTGATGTTCCTGGAGATACGCTACAGCCTACCCTAGACCCTACAGTAAACCCTAAACTCAACCTCTCCCATCTCTGCTCGTGGCTTCACCTAAGGCCTTTTCAATGTCTGCGGTTCCTGTGAAGAGTTCTACAAGGGTTTTTCTACAAGCCTGCAACGGTCCCTACAAGGATTTCCAACACAACCCTAAACCCTAAACCCTAAACCGTCTAGAACGCAGGCTCAAGATGGCGCCCAGTTGGAACCTATACCCCCCAGCCCTAAACCCTAAACCCTAAACCCTAAACCCAGCCCTAGCCCCGAAGTCAGGGGAATGCCTTGTTTCAACCTGCCAGGCAAGCGGCTTCGGGAATTAAGCTTGGAGTTCGGCTGCCTAGACTTAGTGCTTGGACTCAGAGCAACGCAACGGCCAGTGTCAGGAATGCTCCTTCATCAACGAGCTGATGTCTTTGAAGGAAAACTCGCTGACATGGCGGCAGCTGCTCAGGTAATTTGTAAACTCCTTCACCGCCGCATCATCCTTGACAAGAACCATCGCCAGTAGCAAGGGCGCGGTCTCTTCTTTCGGTGAAGCGCCCAGCTCATTCTTGAACCATTGCCTTTGCTTTTCGAAACTATAAGGGCAGAACTGTGCTTGCCAGCATGAACCCTCAACGCAACAGCCTTCCGAACGAAGATCAAGAGGCTTTGACCGCAGGCTACCGAGGAAGCCGTCCAGAAGCTTTGGGAAGCCAACACCCTTGAATGCCTCAACGGTCCGTGTGACGTGATCTCCTTGGCTTTGGCATCACCAACACGTTTACTGCAAGTCCGTTTAGTTCCCTCTCTCTCTCTCTTTCTCTAGATCTGTCTTTCTCCCCCTCTTGTTCTCTTTTCTATCCACTCGTCAGCTCCCTCCCTACGCCGTAACCAGGCGCCCGAGAAGTGACAGCTTTTTCTCATGTCGGGCATGATAGTTAGAACCACACAACCCTCCCAATCTGTATGGGGAAATTGATGAAGTTCCCTGGCTCACAGGTCATGGCTGGCCAAAGTCAAGGTTTCGCCAGGCATCAGGGTTCAGATTCCATGTAAGTCCCTGTGATGGTACTTAAGACATCTTCAAGTATGATGAAACAGGTCACGGAACACACCGACATGCTGGTAGAAGTGTAGAAGCATTCTACTCTCCGAGTTCCGGGATTAGATTACGAGTTCGCAAAAGATCGTCATGATGGTAATCTCAATGATCAACCCTAAACCGTAAACCCTACACCCCTGAACTGGAACCAAGGGGATGGTGTCCAGTGGCTGTGGAGCTTGGGACATTGCCGAAAGGTCTATCGATCTATCCATCTACCTATCCATCTATGTATCATCTGTCTATATGTCTATCTATCTGTCTGTCTATCTATCGATAGACAGATAGATGGATAGATGTTACATAAACAGATAGGATGGAGGGTTTCGACTCTCATGCTCGCGCAAGGCAAAACGATGCTTCGGGCAAGGACTGTCTGACGTAGGGTTCAGGGTGGTCTATGGTTCTGAATCTTTCTGGGTCTGAACTTTAAGGTTCGGTTTTCTGGATGCCACGTGACCCTGAACGGAGCCTGGGTTTCTGTATACCAACCGTAATATGATGCTTACTAGTACAGCTTCCAGCCGTGAACAAGAGAGTCGGGAGGCTGTCGGGATCGCAGAAAGCCTTTGCGTAGTTCGCATTTCAGGGTTCTGAGGTTTCATGATGTAAGGGCACGGGGTCAACCGCCACGGCGGTGATGTTGAATCCCTACTCACCACCGTACCAGAGTGTTTAGTGTGGCATAACAACTTTACATCTATGGCAGTGAGATCTTAGTAATGTGTTAGGCCTCAGCCCATAGACTCCGAACGGCTTAGAGCTTTGACGGTTCGGGCTAAGAGTCGTTTGAAAGTGGCGTTCTTCTTCACCAGCTCGGTCAAGGCCAGGGCGATCTTTCTAAAGAGACCCTTGCGCAAAGGTTTACTGGGTTCATAGTTTAGGGTTTAGGGTTTAGGGTTTAGTGTTTATAGGGTTGAGGAAGCTCACTAAACCCCACAACTCCAACACGAGGCATGCTCCGAACCTATCGCTCGGCGCGGGTGCACCTGGGTTGCCATTTCAATCGAAAAGCTGTACTGCTAATGCCTCAAGAGTGTGATTGCATGTTTTGTGGCATTTGAAGAATAAGTCAAACCCTAAACGCTACATGGTCTATTAAAAAAGTGTGGGGGGGGCGGCCCAGTGTTTCAGAAATTGTCAAACTGCAAAGCTGCGTTGCTGAATACCGAAACCCGACAAACACACACACACACACACACACAGAGAAACAACCCAACAACGACAAAAACATGAGGTTTTTCGTTCAGGGGTGGTAAGTTACAGCGATTCACGGTGCGATGAGCTTGAGCAAGTGGGTCTGAGGCAAAACTGCTGCACGGCAACAGCCAGCAACATAACTCTGACCACGAAGCCTTATCCCGAAGCTTCCTAAACCCTAAACCCTAAACCCGAAACCTTAAACCCTAAACCTTAAACCCTAAACCCTAAACTCTAAACCCTTAACAGGGCCAGAGCTTCAACCTGAAAGCCCTCAACCAAACCCTGGTACACTCCAAGCCAGGGCCTTATGCTTCCATGTGGGTAGTTGTCAAAAT